CTTTATGATAATATGATTTGATAATGTATTCCCTATTCTGGGAAAGTACTCAGATTAATTTGTCTGGAACTAGGTTTTAATAATTTGTTAGACATCATGAGGATGAAAAGATGTTTAATCATTACTCAATTCTAATTCTAACAGTCCAATAAAATCAAATCTTAAACCCTCTCCACAAAAGGTCATGTGGCCTTTACATCTAAATCTTGTAGCCCACCTGAATTGACAACCATTTATCTCTTTGGATATTCACACATAATTCATTTCCAACTCTCTATCTCATTCCTTATTCTAAAAGTTATATTCTTGCTCAAATGCTTATATTTATTGATAAGTTGTTTTCAGTGTCTTTAACCTCATCACTAAGAGGTCTTAGCTAAAGGATATCTCATTCTCCAACACCATTGAAGGCTCAAGATACTTGTCATGGTGGCTTCAAGTTACACCCTTTTTGGATAGGAGGATGGTTTGAAGGTTTGTTAGGTTTCTTTTCCATTTAGGTTTAGTATTAAAACAGTAGTGGAGATAATTTAAATTATCATCTTTTTTAATTTAAAATTTCTTATTAATGATAAATATATATTTTTAGATTGATTCAATTTTAGAATAATAATTTTTATTTGTATTTTACTCTTTACATTCATATAATGGCTTTAAAATTTTACTTTGTAAAATAACATTATTAAAAGAAAAAAAAAATATCATTCTAACTAGATATTGAATTTCAATGAAAGTATTATTGTGAAAACATTATTAAAAAGTAGAAAATATTATAGTTTAAAGAGTCTATCCTTGCTTTATTTTTCTGCTTCTTCTCTATTCAAACACTATTACACATAAATGAAGAATTTAAACATTATGGAATCAAGTCAAAACCCTCGCTTTAAATAACTACCATGACAATCAGGTAGAGGAGTGAAGTGGGGAAAGTAACCACGTCTTACAAAATGAGCAACCATCGTCTTTTTCTTATACTATAATTCTCTTTCCTCTATACTTTTTCTTCCTTCTTCTTATCTCATCTACTGGTACTTTCCATCTATGAAACTCGAATAAACTTTTCATGTGAACTTTGTTAATTCATTATCCAAATCCTTTCTCTACATGTTACATCATCCTTTTCTCACTTTGCCCATTCATTGAGCATGTTTGATTTTATTTTATATGAAAAATATTTGATAACTCGCCTACTCTTTAGACTACTACATTCAATCTTATTATAGGTTTGATCTTCATATAAACCATCATTTTCAAATTATACTCATCTTCTGATTGCTATTAATATCTATTTATGATCATGCACTATCACTATTTCATTATTGATTATGGAAAGACCACTTGATAAATTATATATATCTATCAAAATAAGTTAATTATTTTTATTAATTTTAATTTTTTTTGAAAATATTATTAATGTCAATCTTTACTTATTACAATTTTCAAATTTGATTAAAATAAAATGTAAAAAATCTACATTTATATAAAAATATTATGAATGAAAATAATTTTATTAATTTAATAATTAATTTATAATAAAAAAAAATTTATAATCTAATTATAGTAAAAAAAGTAATTCATAAATTACAATATAATTTGTCGGTATAAAGTATTTATGTTTGGGTCAACGGATTTTTTTTAAATTGAAAATGAACAACAATGAACCGAGTGGCAAAATAGATTCAAAGCCCATTTCAATGTTAACCCCAAAATTTGACACGTGGCACTGCGTGTTAAGGAATGTCAGATTAGTCGGTGCAGTAGTTCAAAACAAACAGCGGTCCAACATTCAAAGATTATTATCCAGATGAAAAAAGTCAACAATTTCAGCTAAATATTCAGCTTGTTATTTATAAAAAAAAATTGTCCTCATTAAATACTTAAGAAAATAAAAAACTTAAAACATAATATTATAGTATAAAATATATTTATATTTCTAGTTATCAACTAATATCAGTAGTTTCTTTAAAAAATATTTTAACATCTTTCAATTTAAAATTTTTTATTAGTGGAAATTGGATAACTTTAAATAAAACCCATAATTTTGAATAAACAAAAATATACACTTATTTTATAGTAAAAATAATATGAATATCAAACTTAAATAGAAAAATAAATGTAATATTTTAATTACTTAAATAATAAAATAAATTTCCATTTACATTACGTCTTTCTCACTGATAATGTAATACATATGGAAATTAATTTTTGCAAGAATATGAAAGTGAAAATTATGCCTTTTTGTTTTATTTATTTATTTTTTGGGCGCCCGTGAATTTGGGATGAAGGCAAACATGGGCCCCGCATTCCAAATTTTCAATTGAAGTCGTTTTTTTTGACGCACTTTTCGTTTTACCCTCCACACCTAAAAAGCGACGTCGTTTCGGTCTACTAATTTTTCTTCTCTTTCTAATGTGAATCCAACAACCAAATTCTTCTCTTTCATCCATTGCACTTTCCAAAAATAATGATAACACATCAACTGACATGTTAAATAAATGAAATCATTTTTCATAAACTCAAACTAAATGTGTTGATTTCTATTCAAATAAAATAATTACTTCATCTCTACCGTCATGAAAATTTTTGTTTGAAAAAATTATATTTTATTCAATTAAAATAATTAAATTGGGTTAAAAACAAATAAATGAACTAAAAAATTAAAAATATCCTGAATAATTAGAGATACACTGATTACTTGAGAAATATTTTTAAATAAATCATAACCTACTTGAATATATTTTATAGGATCCTATCATATTAAAAATAAAAAATAAAAATCAATAGAAAACCTCTCCAAATTAATAAAGCAAATCCAAAACAAGTAAAGTTAAGTAATTTGTGAAAAAGGAATAAGAAGAAAAATAAATTCAATATTCTAATATTAAATTTAAAATTGATTACAATATTTAATAACCTATGTAAAAAATAACAAAAAGATGGAAAAGATCTCATAACTGAATGTTGAGAAATTAATTCTTAAGCTGCACATAATTATAATAAAATAAAAGTAAAATGAAAAAAAAAATACAAGATTTAAAGTGATTTGGTGCTTACATCCACAAATAAATTGATAAGAAATTTTTTTATTATGATTAAAAATATATATATCATCAATAAAATTATATGTCTTTAAATAAATAAATTACGAAAATTTTATCTCACAAAAATTTACTTAGGTATATATAAAATATTCTCAAATTGGCCACATCAACACCAACCTTTCTTATTCCTCTTAATTTTTTAGATTTATGACTGTAATATGATTCCCAATTAAGTACTATTCTAAAACAAAGACCGCCACTCTCGCCATCTACTCCTGTTCTTTTCACTTTCCTTTTTTGGCATTTAACCGACTGTTCTCTCCCTATTTATTTTCCTTCTCTCTCTCACTTGTATCATTCAAAAATGATCACCGGCGCAGATAATACTGAATCCGGCGGGTGTTTCAGGGGAGTACTCCGGAGACTTTTATGTTCCGGGAGCCTGCAAACACACCCCTCAGATCAAATTACAGAGACGGAGATTCCACACACAGATAAAGAAGCAAACAACAATGGGAGCCAAACTGAAACTCCTTCTTCTTCTGGTTCTGCTCCAAGCATTGTGGCAAGGCTAATGGGCTTGGATTCATTGCCGGAGACCAACTGGGTTCCAAACTTAAAGAAGCCACCTGAATCGGTTCCACGAAGCAGGTCTGTTAATTTCATGGATTATTTGATGGAGTTTGATCTCACAGATTTGCAGCATCGCCGAGTGAAAACGTCTGTTTCATTTCGGGAGGTTTCTCGTCCTCTACTGCATGAAAATAAGCATGATAATTTCCTTTTGGTGTACTTAGATAAAATGGATGGAGGCCAGGAAATAGGATCTGGACTCAGGAAATCCGAGTTGGGTTTTCAACAACTCAAGCTCCAGCAGAGAGTTGACAAGAACAAGAACAAGGAGATCAACAAGAAAGATCAGAAAGCAGTTTTTAATAACAAGAAAAATCAAAGGACCGACATTGCAAAAGTTTCGACAAAGTTTAAAGATGAGCCGAGAAGAGTTCGTAGTAAGAATGATCCAAAGGTTGGTAAAACTCGAGCTTCAACTTTTGTTTCGAAACGAAAGAAAGATGTTTATAGAAAATCTGGTGCAAATTCAATGGCAAAAAGGCCCGAAGTGAAGCCTGTGAATCATAAGGAAGAATTAGTTGAACGTAGATTCACCAAGAGAAGAATTAGAAAGCAGCTCAAGTTTATGGAAGTAGATCAGTCCGAAGAGTGTGATTCAGAGAATTCAAGCCCAGTTTCAGTTCTCGATCATGACGAGTTTTTGATCCATGAAAAAACTTCTTTACCAGGTTGGTTGTCTTAACTAGTTTTCACTTTCATAATTATATCAGCAATCTTAATGTTCTGTGGTTTATCAAGATCTAACTTCGTCTTCTCTAATTTAAACAGAGAATTCAGAGTCCATGTTTTGGAATTCCATTAAGAAATCTGGGCAAATTATTACAGACTACGGATACCCATCTTCTCATGTAATCAATGAAGTTTTTAGCACTGATGATCTTGAAGTAGAAACGACCAAGAAAAAAGATGAGCAACTGTTGATGGATCATAACCAGGAGACAGATTACAGAGTGTTGGTAAGCATGCTTTTCAGGTTGACGGAGAAAGACATAAAGGAGTCAACTTGGATAGAGACAAAGGATTTCAAACGTGAAGAGATGTGCATGGAATTTGGCCAAGAAATCCTCGATAGAATTTTACAGCAGCTGGTAGATGAACTTGTAGGATTTGACATGTAAATTCTTGCTTGTAATGCTTGAGTAAACTCTATTAAAATGTGAATATTATTTTATTTTTCTTGGTTTTGGCGTAAGAATAGTTCATGCAAGGTAGAGGTGCGAAAGGTCTTACAGCCGACTTTACTTACCAGTAAGTTGGCTGTATTCAGACTGATGGTAAGAGCAAATGTACTGACATGGTTAGAGATAGATGATGCAAGTAATATATTGATTAAATAGGAAACTTGTTTTTTATGTGCCAGTTTTGTAGAGAAGCATTTGAATGAATTTTCGAGTTGTGAAATTTAAGTAAAAATTCAGCCAAAATAAATATGATGAAATTTGTGTCAAGATGTTAAAAAATAATTATATAAATAAATTAAAATTTTTAATGTGAAAAATTTCTTTAATGTGAAAGATAAAAATTATAGGATTTCTACTGATTCAAGTAAAAAGAGTTTCATTATAAAAATTAGTGTTTACAGCAACAATAAGCAACTATTATAATTCTCAAATAAATACTCAACAATAAAAAATAAACAAGGAAATTGAGAAATATCAGCAAAGCAGCTACTGTTCATATGAAATGGATGCGTTTTGATTGTTCAAATCCGATTTTCACCATTCAAATTAAAGAACAATTTATTACAAATATGCTCACCAAACTTTAGCCTCATCATACCATAAACGGCTGTCTGCTCGTCGGAGAAAGTCAAACTAATTGGTGCAGAGAAGAAAAACATAAATAGTAACTTCGAACTAAAAGAACCAAAAATCCAACTGTCGAAATTCGATCTTCACTGTTAACAAAAAATAAACAAAGGAATTGAGAAATATCACCAAAACAGCTACTGTTCATGCGAAATGGATGCGTTTTAATTGTTCAAATCCGATTTCCACCATTCAAATTAAAGAACAATTTATTACGAACATGCTCACCAAAGTTCAGCCTCATCAGACCATAAACGGCTGTCTGATCGTCGGAGAAAGTTAAACTAGTCGGTGCAGGGAAGAAAAACGTAAACAGTAACTTCGAACTAAAAGAACCAAAAATCTAACTGTCGAAATTCGATCTTCACCGTTAAGAATGAAAAATAATAAGTCTTCTAAATACTCACTAAATTTTAGCCTGATCTGAATAAAGATTAACGTCTGATCGTGGAAAGAAGGAAAATATGTTGAATGTAATTTTTCAGCAAAAATTTCATTTTTGTTCACTTTTTTATTTTAGTGGCTGAAAATTTGTTTTATACTATTCTTTAGGGTTAAAGTGGTATACCCAAAAAAAATCCTAATAACCCTAATAAACAAAAAATAAGTGGGTTCAAAAAGTATTTGAATTTTTTTATATAAGAGGAAACGCAAAACCCAACAATTTGGTGTAAGAATAGTTCATGCATAATAGAGGTGTGAAAGGTCTTACAGCCAACTTTACTTACCAGTAAGTTGGCTATATGCAGACTAATGATAAAAGCAAATGTATTGACATGGTTAGAGGTAGATGATGCAAGTAATATATTGATTAAATAGAAAACTTCTTTTTTATGTGTCGGTTTCACATGCAATATGGAGTAATAAGACAATTTGCACTGAAATAATTTCTTGAAAGGAGGAATAGCTCTCCCATTTGTGTAATTCTTTAATGTCTTGGAAGCATAAACTGTTTTTTGAATCAGAGGCTATTTGATGTCATTACCAACGGCTGAAGATGATGGACACGATCAATTCTGCCTGGACAATGCGGTTGTTGGCCAGTGAAAAACTAAATTTATGGAAATCTTGAAGTAGAACACTTGTGGTTGAACTTCTTGGAAAGACAATCAATTTCCATCTTGAACAATGATTAAAACAATTATGAGAAAAACTGGAGATGATACAAGTGATGAATATGGGAATGAATTTTTTTTAGCAAAGCTAATAAGATAATTATGATTTTTTGCCGAACACTAAATATTAATGTATAAATTATAATTTATTTTATTTTTAAATTATAATTAAATAAAATTTATTTTATAATTAAATTTGAAACATATTTATTTTTTAAATATTATTTAGTTATTAAGAATTTATCCCTTAATAAATTTGATCCATATTTACTTTTTAAATATCATATAATTAATAAAAATTTATTTTATAAAAAATTTGATTATATCTAAACCTATTTAAAATTACAATAAGTTGCTAATTGTGGTGCTAATGAAAATTAATATATATTTTTTTTTCACCTAAAAAAACTCCAACACTGAATTATTTCAAATCACTATCTTGCTGTACAATAGTGCCATCCTAATTTATTCTAGAAGAAGCAACAATCGATGAGGTCGCAGTTTCACTCCATCTTGGAGAAGAACCAGTTTGGTGAGTCCTTCGCATGGATGTTACCAGATATTTGGTTACCCATGGAGGGTTTATTAGAATTTTCGTCAAATTAAATATATCTAAACCATTTAATATCAAAATTTGGGTTACATAAAAGAATTTTTTGAGTTGAATTTTTAAAAGATCCAAAACTTAAGCAGAGTTCAGATTTTATTCAGTCCAAAATGAGAAAGAAACCGCTGGCCATTGTTTTAAATAGACATGGACTTGAGAAGGAGATAATTCCTCCAGCCCAAAACAATACACTAATAATGCCGGTGGGCCAATTACTTCAGAATGCTAAGAATACCAGACCCGACCTACCTAAAGAATAATAAAGCAATCCTTTGGTTCCTCCTTGACTGGCCAGCCGACCCCAGCTCAGGGTCTGCCTTAATGATGGAGGCTGAACAGCCTTCACCATGAACAGGAGTGATCCAGCCATCCTTTATGATTTCTTAGTGTGTCCTGATTATTGATTATATTATATTATATTATTTTGTATACAAGATTTATGGCCTGCACTCTTAGAATTAGCATTATAATTCATATTTTCATCATGAGTATCAACATTATCTCTTGGAATCGTAGGGGAGTGCGAACAGATTTTTTAGACTCCATCCTAAAGAAATCATTTGCATATGTAGACCAAATATTTTTTGCTATCTTGAACCCTGTATTGCTAGAGTTAGTGCAGATGATATTAATTATTACTAGATTGGGACTTCGAAATTTTGCTGCATATTGAAGCAGAAGGCTTCTCTAGGGGAATTTAGATTCTCTGGAGCTCCTATATCATATCAGTTTGAATGTCATCCACCTGCTTGGGCAAAACATACGTTGCAAAAATATCCTATAGAAATATTACTTTGGTTTTTTACTTCTATGAATGTTATGTTAGTTCCCGTAAAAATAAGTGACACACGCTTTGAAACCACATCACATGCTTCAGTCCTACTATAAATGACATTTCCGAGTTGGCGGACCAAAGTGGGGGCTCCAGCGACTACAATCAATAGGTCCAAAATTTTCACTTCTTGATTGAGGAGTGCGAGTAATACCCCAGAGTCCAGAGTTGGACACATTATATACTGCAACATTTGTGACTAAAATTCATAAACAGACAAGGTTTATATAAAAACAAAACTGAAACTAAAAAAGCAGAATAAATCTCAAATAATTAATTAATAAACAAGTTGAAAATACAATTTAAGTCTTGAGACTCAACTATAAATGGTCCCCCATATCCAAAACTAAAATTATTATAAAAGGTTTTTAATCCCTAATTGGAATTTATCAATCATTTACACGTCCTTGAAATTTTTTTGTGTGCAATCAATTTTTCAGAGTCTGTAAAGAAAGAAAAAAGAGATAAAATGAGCTCACAACTCAAGTGAATAATCAAAATGCAAACTAATTAAATTAATCAAATTTGACTAATTATAGAAAATAGATTTAAATTGTATATAATAGCAAATAAAAGGATAACATAATTTACAAAATATTTCAATTAACATCTGGAGTTATTGCATTAAATTTTGACAAAACTCAAATAAGCAAAAAGCTTAAATAAAAATCTCATAATCCTTAGCAGCTAATACCATATTGTATCCTTATAATAAGATATAAAACTATATTTAACCTCTCTGGTATAAGTAATATATTTCTTCTGTATTAGGATGTAAAATTATATTTAATCTCTATTACGCAGATTTAAAAGAAATATATTTATGACAAATTCTAATGTTTATCTCCTTAGTAGGGTCAAATCATAACTGAAATGAGAGTTTCAAAACAACTTATAAGTTCAAACATATTCACACAAAAATAAAATAACTTTATTAAATAAATCAAAATTTTAGTTTTACTAAAATGTAAGCTTGATCTAACATTTATATTCAAGGCGATTTTCTATTGAATAAGATGCATTTGGAGAGAAAGTATATACTAAGTAAGGAGTTAAAAATTAATAAAAATTCAAAATAATTTTTAAATATCATAAATTACCATGGTAGATTAAAGACTAATCACATATAATATCAAATCCCAAATTTTAATGCTAAAACTTCTTTAAGATCTTATATATTCAAAATATCAAATAATTCCCAAAAATTTGAAATTTATTTATGCATCCTAATGATATGCCTAATGTATATCTTAGGAATTTGAGAGGATATGGATATAATATCTTAAAATCGTCTATTAGAAACTAGGGAGTAATATATATTTGAACATGTCAAACTTATTTTGGAGAATCCAAATTCTCCTAATCATTAAGTAAATTGGAAAGGAAAGGTGAAAGAGCCTGTTTTGCATTTGTTCATTCTTTTTTGCAATTCTAAATTTTTCAAAAATTCAAATCTTCTTCAATTCTAATATGAATTATGCAATCTTAATATTTATGAAAAGTTTAAAATATTTCACGTTCAAAAGTATTTAAAAAAATAAAAGAATGCAGCCGAAATATTGCTAGACACTAATTGCGTTCAATAATAACACTCGATTTTTAAAAACTCATATTTTTTTTTACAGTTTTAATCAAAATCTTGCAATCTTGGTGTTTATAGAAAAACTTATGTCATGCAGATTATATATAAAATAGTTTGGTAGTTGAAATTTAGGCAAAAGAATTATAAAATAGTTAAAAGCCTATTGCTGCATTGTTCGCAATTTTCTGCAATTTAAGGTTCTCAAAAATTTATAATTCCATTAGTTCTAATCCAA